TTAAACTCTCAAGTTATGTTATGCTACTGCTGTCCACTCCTCACTGCTGGAACTGTTTTTGCAGCTCTAATGTTTCTTCAGCATTTTCACTGTTCAATTTAACAAATTAAAATGATAATTAGTGCAAAGGCATAATTATTTGAGGGAGATTTTTTTCATGGTATAAACAATGTGGGAATAGGTTAATCGTTTAGAATTATTTAATTTATAAAATTGTCATTTGTTTTGTCAATTTATTAAACTTAGTATTTTCAAATTTCATTTGATCTATAGAATTAACATTAGGCTTTTCAATTTATTAAACTTAGTATTCTGAGATTTCTAGATGATGACTTTGTTATTTAACTTTTTAATGTAAGGAAAGAATAGTGCTAAAAGTGACTTTCGAATGCCATATAATGAATAAAACCAGATGGAATCTAAAAGCTAAATCTTTAATTTCTTACTTGGAGTTTGCATTGATCTTAGAATTATTCACAATGTCCTGAATCCATAAGAAGGCAAACTTTGCAGTTTAATCTTTTCAAAACAAATTATTTTAAAGGTCAATATCACATTCTAAATTACTTATCCAGAATTTATTTTAGTAATTTGTCTAGTGTTTTCTATAGCTTAGCATACAAATTAGGTATTGATTTCACATGTTTTATACATTTATAAAACAACTTATTCTCAGAGTACAGGGACATTTTCATGTCAGTTAAAATATGGAATTAACACACTCTTTGAGTGAAATAATTTTTACTGCTTCTCGCCCATGGGACAATGAGCTTTCAGTTTGGGCCTCCAGAGAGATGGCTGTGGTGCAAGGGCCTAAGGTGAATGTGGACAGCAGTGAGCCAAAAATGAGCTAAAGAGATGCCTGAAAGCTCAGAAGAAAGCGGAGGAGGCCAAGCAGAAGAAGCTCAGTGAGAAACAACTAAGCCAGGCCAGTGTTGCTGCCACCAGCCACACCACTGACAAAGATGTGAGTGCTGAGGAGGAGAGCCTAGACCCAGATCCATACTACAAGATCCACAGCCTAGCAGTTCACCAACTAAAGGTCAATGGGGAGACACATGAAAACATGCTCAAAGTCACTAATCATCTGAGAGATGCAAATCAAAACAATGAGGTACCATCTCACGCCTGTCAGAATGGCTATCATCAACAAATCAACAAATGACAAGTGCTGGTAAGGATGCAAAGAAAAAGGAACCCTCGTGCACTGCTGATGGGAATGCAGACTGGTGTGGCCCCTGTGGAGAACAGTATGGAGTTCCTCAAAAAACTAAAAATGGAACTCCCATTTGACCCAGTGATCCCACTTCTAGGAATATATCCTAAGAAACCAGAAACACCAGTCAGAAAAGATATATGCTCCCCTATGTTCATAGCAGCACAATTTACCATAGCTAAGATTTGGAAACAGCCTAAGTGCCCATTAGCAGATGAGTGGATTAAAAAACTGTGGTACATCTACACAATGGAATACTAAGCTGCGGAAAAAAAAAAAAAAAAGGAATTCTTACCATTTGCAACAGCATGGATGGACCTGGAGAGCATTCTTTGAAACTGAGGAAACTCATGACCAAAATTACAAATAAACTACAGAATAACCATCATTCAGAACTGCCTAAAATCTGGCTGAACGGAAGTCCTACAACTAGAGATTTAAAGAAGAAGTCACATCGAGACTGGCAGGAGGGGTGAAGGTGCAGAAAAAGCTGGTCCAATACCCATGTATAGCATTTTCTTAATCAGGAGGGATAACTTGGCTACAGAGGTCAAGAGGTCCCAGCTCCACACCAGGCCCCCCAACCCAGGGTTCCAGTACCAGAAAGAGAAGTCCCATAACTTCGGGCTGTAAAAACCAGCAGGGATTGTGGCTGAGTGACACAGAGGCTGCTGGAGTCCCAAGTGTTCCTCTGAAAGGGCTGGTGCACGGACTTACTTGGATTCATTCCCTCTGAGCTCTAATGCTTGGGCAGCATCTTGAAAGGATTCAGGGACATTCAGGGTGGAACTAAATTGTCTGGCATCAGGGCAAGAACTGGGAGGCAGCTTTCTCCCAGACACAAGTTCTGGCAGAAGTCATTGTTCCTATGCTGAGTCCTCCCCTGCCACAGAGCAGGCGCCATATTGAGTTTCCATCAACCTGGCTCACACTGTTCACTTGGCTCTGATGACTCCAATTTGCATCCCCAAGCTGTTTGCAGTGGTCTTTCCATATGAATAGCCTGTCCTTGCTCAGGCTTCAGACTTTTCTGAAATCTTTCAAACAAGCAGCAGCTGGCCTCAGCATGCCCCATACCTTTCAGTAAGAGGCTCCAGGCCCAGCACTAGCAGAAGCCTGCCTTGGTTCACAGCTTGGCCTCTCCTGGGTATCTCCAAGCCCAACACAAGTAGCAGTCATCTGCAGATCACTCTGTAGGGGTGGCCCCAAGCAGGGCACAGGAAGTAACTGACTTTGCACCTCCATGGAGGCCCCAGAGCCAGTGCACCCTGTGGTCAGCTTCAGACCATGCCAGATTACAACCCTACCACATCCACAAGTAGCACACTCAAGGGGCAGACTCAGCACTAAAGCAAGTCCTGCCGCATAGGGGTATCTCCTGCACAACAGCTCTTCCACTGTAGTCACAGTTGGTCCTCACAGCCATTGGCCTGGGGGTCAATCCTTCCAAGTGATGCCAATAGCAAGCCAGGCTCAACTACAACAGGACAGTGCACACAGCCCACACAGGCACACTTAGAATGCCCAGCTCAGGTGACTGGAGAGGCTGAGCCACTGGGCCCTACAGGACACCAACTACAAAAGGACACTCTACCAATTCCAGGAGACATCAACAGCTCTACCTAATACATAGAAACAAACACAGGGAAGCAGCCAAATATGTGGAGACAAAGAAACATCACAAATGAAAGAACAGAAGAAATCTCCAGGAAAAGAACGAAATGAAATGGAAGCAAGCAAACTACTGGATACTAAGTTCAAAACCATGGTTATAAGGGTGCTCAAGGATTTTAATGAGAGCTTCAAAGGACATAATGAGACCTTCAAGGGAATTAATGAGAGCTTCAAGGGACCTAGTGAGAATTTCAGGAACCTTAATGAGAACATCAAAGATATGAAAAAGGACCAGTCAGAAATGAAGCATACACTAACTGAAATAAAGAATAATTTACAGGGATTCATCAGTAGAGTGAAGGATTCTGAGAATCAAATCAACAATATGGAATATGAGGAAGCAAAAAACACCCAATCAGAAGAGAAAAAAGAATCCAAAAATATGAAGATAGTGTAAGAAGCCTCTGGGCTAGAAGGGGTCAATGGGGGGAACAGGGGGACATATGTAATATTTTCAAAAATAAAATTTTTAAAAAAAAATATATTATGTAATAGTGGAAAGGTCATTGCTATAGAGTCAAATATAGCTGGATTTGAAACCTAACCTAAAATATACTAGCAGTTTCTTCCTGTTAAAGAAATATTTTATATCTCTGAGCCTCAGGTTCCTCATCTGCAAAACCTAATATGGTTGCTCTAAGGCAGTGGTTCTCAACCAGTGGGTCGCGACCCCTTTGGGGGTCGAATGACCCTTTCACAGGGGTTGCCTAAGACCATCGGAAAACACATATATAATTACATATTGTTTTTGTGATTAATCACTATGCTTTAATTATGTTCAATTTGTAACAATGAAAATACATCCTGCATATCAGATATTTACATTACGATTGATAACAGTAGCAAAATTACAGTTATGAAGTAGCAACGAAAATAATTTTATGGTTGGGGGTCACCACAACATGAGGAACTGTATTAAAGGGTCGCGGCATTAGGAAGGTTGAGAACCGCTGCTTTAAGGAGATACCATGAATTAAACAGTATGCTCTCTGCTTCCCTACCATACCCATACACTTCTTTCTTCCTAGAATACTTCCCACCCCATACCTCCTCCTGACTTACACACACATGCACATGCACATGCACACGCACACCTATACAAACCAATTTAGGTCTCCTTCCTATATGTTCCCAGTGAAATCAGGAATTACCCTCATGAAGCACTTAATATATTCTGTCGAATTTTCATGTTTTTTTGCCTGTCTTCCCAAGCAAACTAGATTCTTTAAGGGGGAAAATTTTTGTCTACCATTATATACATATTTACTTGGCATATGGACTAGCTCAATAAACATTTGAATAAATGAATTTTAGTAACATATTTAACCCTATCCTGGGTTCAGAATAGCTCTAAAAAGGTATAATGTGTCTGTGTTTTGCTTTCTGTTAGAACATAATCCACCTAAGGCATTTTTAAATTTATAATATGCGGTGATTTATATTGTAAAATGCAAATATTTTTATTACTAATTATATCTATGAAATGAAGAATATTCCTTATCTGTATTGTAGTAGACTACTTGTACTTATATATTTATCTTTGTAATTTGTACATTATGTTTTCTTGTAATATCCAAGTATATATATATATATATATATATATATATATATATGCTTTGCTGATCTAAAATTTTATTTCATAAGTGTCTCAAGAATTTGCAGTTTAATGTACATATTTTATGCCATTCTTCTCCATCTGTGATTAGACTTAGAATGAAATAGCAAGCTTGGAGGCAATGCTGTAGATTTAAGAAGGTCTGTAAAATATATAGAAATTAAATCATTTTAAGCAATATAACTGAAACTTGCTCTTACCATTTTTTATTTTAAAAACTTTACAAAATAATAATAATAAACAGGCAATATTACTTTTAGATGGAAGGAATGAAAATAAGGTGCATTAGAGGAAGTTTTTAATTGGTATATTTTATTCTCTGGATTTAGCATATTTTCATACATATGCCTGTCTAAATTATTTACAAGAGCTTTGCTGAATAAATGTTATTAACTGCATAATAAAATGAAGGTGTGGAAAAATAGAAGTAATGTTTATGTTTATATAAATCATCAAGATTTCTTTAAAGTCTCATAGCCATCCTTCTTCTTTCAGGTACAGAGAACTACAACTTAGTACAGAGAGCAAAGTAACAGAATTTCTCCATCAAAGTAAATTAAAGTCTTTTGAAAGTGAGCGTGTTCAGCTTATACAAGAGGAAACTGCAAGGAATCTCACACAGTGTCAGTTGGAATGTGAAAAATATCAGAAAAAACTGGAGGTATATGTACAAACTTTTCTTTCAATAGCATAGCAGGTGAGCTCCATAAGTAAAGGTCTATATCATATTAGGCTTTATAAATAATATTTGTGTTATGTAGGAGAAAGGGCCTGTCCTTATTTTTATTTTTTTTTCTTTATTGATTAAGGTATTACATATGTGTCCTTATCCCCCCATTGCCCTCCCAACACCCCCCACCCCCCCTCATGCCCTCACCCCCCTAGTGTCTGTGTCCATTGGTTAGGCTTATATGCATGTATGCAAGTCCTTTGGTTGATCTCCCCCCCTTACTCCCACCCTCCCCTGCCTTCCCTCTGAGGTTTGATGGTCTGATCAATGCTTCTCTGTCTCTGGATCTGTTTTTGTTCATCAGTTTATGTTGTTCATTATATTCCACAAGTGAGTGAGTTTATGTGATATTTATCTTTCTCTGATTGACTTATTTCACTTAGCATAATGCTCTCCAGCTCCATCCATGCTGTTGCAAATGGTGAGTTCCTTCCTTTTTACAGCAGCATAGTATTCCATTGTGTAGATGTACCACAGTTTTCTAATCCACTCATCTGCTGATGGGCACTTAGGCTGTTTCCAAATCTTAGCTATGGTAAATTGTGCTGCTATAAACATAGGGGAGCATATATCCTTTCTGAGTGGTGTTTCTAGTTTCTTGGGATATATTCCTAGAAGTGGGATCACTGGGTCAAATGGGAGTTCCATTTTTAGTTTTTTGAGGAAACTCCATACTGTTCTCCACAGTGGCTGCACCAGTCTGCATTCCCACCAGCACAGTACACGAGGGTTCCTTTTGCTCTGCATTTGTCCTTATTTTTAAAAGCACTCTTATCAAGAGGACCTGTGTTCCTTTTCCAGATAAATAGGTGGAAAGAAGGAATGGAATGTTTCCAAAAGAAGAAATGCAAATTGATAAGAAATAATTAAAGAAATGCAAAAATTTAAACTTTTTTTTTAAACCTTTATATAGGTCTTTTTGCTGGCAAGAGCATCCTTAAATGGGAAATCTCATGTAGTTAGAACAACATGGTAATCTGTTTAATGTCCTTAAAAAATTGATCTAGTAATTTTAGTTAAAGGAATTTAGTAATAAGCCATGCTTATAAAGGTTTATATTAATGATATATGTCACAGTATTATTTATTACAGTAAAAAATTGGAAATAACTTAAATGTCTAATAATAGATAATTAAAAGATTTTTAATTAGTATAAGTTTTATATTTTGCTGTATTCATGCATTGTATGATTACATGCAATCATGTTTTTGAATATTTTAGATGTGAGGGAAACACTCATTAAAAATATTTAATGAAAGATTCAGTAATGTCACCCTAATCAGTTTGGCTCAGTGGATAAAGCAACGACCTATGGATTGAAGGGTCCTGGGTTCTTTTCTGGTCAATGGCAAATGCCCAGGGTGCAGGCTCGATCCCCAGTAGAGGGTGTGCAGGAGGCAGCCAATCAATGATTCTCTCTCATCATTGATATTTCTACCTCTCTCTCCCTCTCCCTTCCTCTCTGAAATCAATAAAAATATATTTTTTAAAAGAAAGATTCAGTAATGTCATTATCATGATTAATTAGCTAGCAGTGTAAGTATTCATTACAATATCTCAGAGGTTACATTTCTGAAAAGTACTTTGGTAAGTAAAACTAAGATTAACAAAATAAAGGGTTTATTAGAAAATAAAGCCTTAGGGAAAACATAAAATGATATTACATACCTACATAGTTAAGAAAACATAAGTAAAAAATGTAGATTGTGTCCACTGCTAAAGCAAACCGGTGTTCAGCATTTTCAGATACCTTCTTCAGGAAAATGTCACAGTCATAATCTACTATGGAAGATTCTTCCATACATTTTCGATGAGACTGTATTAGACTAACTGATTTGGAACTCGTCTTTTGCAAGTTATGTTTTCCATGCTTTAAATTTCATAATTTCTTTTCCTTTTCATATTGCATGACTGTACTTAAGGATGTGTCTTGGAGCAGGGTGTATAGGAAAATAGAGAATCACTTCCTTTCTCTGGATACTTCTGAAACAAACATTTCACTAAACAACACTTTACAATATACAATGCTTATGTTTTCTAAACCATTGTATTTTGTCATTTTTAGCTGGTTGCAATCCAAATTGATTTCATGACCTTGTAATGGCTGCAACTTGCAGTGTGAAAACTGCTCTCCCATAGATATACCCACTTGGTCTGTGGGTGCAGCTGAATAGTAATTATGGTGTTCCTTTGTGTAAATGTCTCATGTGGAAAAACACCTTTGTAAGAAATATTGTGATCCTGGAAACTCTGGTTGATAAAAACTGAGGTTTTAGGGGAATTTCTGTGCATTTTCTCCTCAGTTAAACTAGGAGCCTTGAGAGGACAGGGACTGCTCAATAAATATTTTATGAGTGAATGAGTGGTTTGGTGAATGCTAATATAGTATCATTGTTTGAATCTTTTTTGTTGTTGTTCTGAAATACTAGAAGGTGTTTCTAATTTAAAATGAATTTACAGAAAAATATTTTGTGAAGGGTAAAGAGTACCTTCATATTACAATTATTATGTACTTTTTGTGGCTTTTACCGAACACTGTCATGAACTTACAACTTTTGGACAATTTATTTGTCTTAGTTATCAATTGGTAAAGGCTCTCAAAACACTGGCTTTTTATATTTTATCTTTTTAAAAGTAATTTTTGGCCTTTAATTGTGTATTACAGATTTACATGTACATATATATAAATATAATTTTATGTAATTTTTTATTATCATTAAGTTATTTAAAGAGAGGAATGATCCACTGAGATTTTGGTATTTAATGGAGTCCTAAAAGCAGTTGACCTATTTTATATACTAATGTTTAAGCTCAAATGTGTATATATTGTTTTTTCCTGAAGAAACTTTAATAGAATAGCCTTTCATAGGTCTAATAATAAAGTTCTTTGGCTTTTCAGAAACAGTTGTGAATTTGTTTAGAGCAGTCACTCAGACAAATCCATACTGAAAGGGAATTCTCCCCCATGGGGTACAGAGGTATTGGAAGATATCTCTGATCAGAAGTTTCTGCGGATTTCTCCTCTATGTCATGGAGAATTTTAAATCATATCTCTCAATTTAATACTATTTTTAAAATCTCATCTTAAAATAATATTTTATGAAATATCCTATTTTCAACTTTTTTATTCTTTATCTCTTTAGATATTTATTTCTGCAGCTTTTCTTTGTGTGTGCCTTTTGTTGTTTTGGTTGGGGGAAATGGGATACGAGTGAAAAATATCAGCTGTTTTGTGGGGCAGTCATTTAACACTGTCTTTACTAATCCTCTCGTTTATCAGTAGAGTTAGTGCCATCAGCAACCAGATTCTTAATGAATTACATCCCAATAGATTGAACTATGTGAAAGCCCCAGATTTTTTCACTATGTCGTGATTTCTTTATCTATATATATAAAAGGCTAAGGCGACCAGCCAACTGGCCGATCAGCCTGTAGGTATGATATGCACTGACCACCAGGGGGCAGATACTCAATGCAGGAGTTGCCGAGTGACAGCAACTTTGCAGAGTGCCCTCTCGCACTCTGGGACCCTTTGGGGGATGCGCACTGCAGATTTCGGCCCAATCCCCGCAGGCCAGGCCGAGGGACCCCACCTGCCGGAGGGATCCTGCTCACTGCAGATGCCCTTCGAGACCTGGCACCGCCCTAGGTGCTGCTGGCCGGGGAGTGACCGCAGGAGGTTGGCTCCAGGGCATGTCCACCTCATTTCACCCAGTCCTGTCCCACTGGCCACCTTCTCTAAAAAACAAATTCCTAGCAAGCAAGAAGAAATAATGCTAAAACTTGAATTTTCTTTTGCTGACCCAATCAGGGACATTAGAAATCATCCTAAAAAATATTATTACCATGTTATTCTTTCTCCACTCTCCAAAGGAATATATTTGGAGGATAGGGGATAATGTTTAATTTATTTTGGGGAGAAGTTTTAATGAAAATCATTGAAGGAAATGATACAGAATAGATTAAGGAAAATTAAGTTGTAATTTCTACTTGTTATAAACTGTAAATGGGTCTTCTGCATATTCTTTTTCCACTCCATAGATAGCACTCAATCACATACATTTGTTAGGGTGAACTTTATGTCAATAGAGAAAATACGTTTTCTTCCAAATTGTTTTAATTACAGAGAATTCAGGGTAATTAAATTCATACACCTCTATTTCTGTGAGCCATTTAATACAAGTTATTATAATTGTACTTCTTACAATAATAATAGTATTTTTCAACACTTACTGTGTTCTCTGCATTCGCTAAGCTCTGTGAATTTACCCTCTCCTTTAATACTCCAACAATATTTATGGTAAACCAAGAAAGAATAAGTAATTGCCTAAGATCACAACTAATAAGTGCCAAAGGTAGGATTGAAATCCTATTATATTGCTTCTCAGGAAATACATCTGATTCTGTGTAAGGAAGCAAGTGTAATACCACTTCATAATTTAGTTTGTACTAGTCTGTAAATTTTCTAGATAATTGGAATTTAATTTAAGCATTAAAACATCCCTTTGTCACTAGAAATGTCTCCTTTTTTTGGTGAATTCATTATAATCATCATAGTGATTCTTTCAATGAATTATTACTGAAGAATACTGGATTTTTGTTCTTAAAGTAACTTCATTTCCATGCCTTTTGTATTGTTTTTTTTATTTATCATTTTTATCCTTTATGTAGAAAGATATTTTCTGATATTGCCCCAAGTAGCACTTCACATTTACATTTTAATTTGCTGCTTTCAAGTTATGATTGTTCAAGAAACCAAAAATCTTACTGAAAGTATGGCATGGGTAGATAAATGAGCTCTGATGGAAAACTAAAGGGCTCATTTATGAGTGTATCACTTTGCACATGGCTTTTTAAGCCTTTCCCAAATGGCTGCGATCTCCAGATAAATGACCTCCAAGTAAGTATGGCATTACTGCATTTTTTAATCCTAACAAGCAAATGCTAGCCTTACTCCTATAACTATTTCAGTTTTTAAATTTGTTTTTTATTCAATTATATAATAAAGTGCTTTGTAATTTTCAGTTAAAAACAACTGAATTATTTTCTGTAGAAATAATTGTACTTAGTCATCTCAATTGAACTACTTTCACTTCATATCTGAATCATTACTAGTAAAAAGAGGGGAAAAAACTAATAATATTTTTGTATCACGTTTTTGTCTTAACTGTTATTTAATCTGCCTTTGCAATTTTTTTTCTTTCACTAATAGGTTTTAACTAAAGAATTTTATAGTCTCCAGTCCTCTTCTGAAAAACGCATTACTGAACTCCAAACACAGAACTCTGAGCATCAGGCGAGGCTAGACATTTATGAGAAACTGGAAAAAGAGCTTGATGAAATAATAATGCAAACTGCAGAAAGTAAGCCTCCCACAACCCTCCCCCCCCCACACACACACACAGCTTTTTGTTTTTGTTTTGTTGTTGGCAGCACAAGGAACCTAGTATTGTTCCTAAAACTGTTTTATTTCTTTCAAATATAATTGGTGGCTTTTTAAAAGAATATTTTACATTTTAGAAATTAGTCTTAATTCTAGTAGTTGAGATTTTAAAAATAAGTTAACTGTGGTAGATTTTATCTTTTCATTTATTTAGTTTACTCATTCAGTGATTATTAAATGCTTTACATATGCCTGGATCTGGGGAAATGGAGTTCATACAATAACGATTGCATATTAGGTGTTCCTTGTTTAGTCTGCTGGGAGAGACAAACATATTAACAGATAATTAAAGTGGTGAGCTAAGTGCTATTAGCAAGAGATAGGCAATCCTTGGTGAAAGTACAGAAGAGATCCTGAGTTAATTCAATCTTGGTGGAGAGGAATACCTGAGAGGAGACAACATTTGAATTAGTCTTGAAAAACAGATAGAAATTCTTTGAATGTACTATGTTATAATCTTTGACCCTAATTTCTAATTTATTTTCCCTGTGTTGTCCCTGACTCTAAGGAAATATTTTAAATTAACATTTCACCATTGACAATGATGTGTACTACAGTACATTATTTTTGTTCAAAAATGAGAAATAACAGTGGCTTTCTTAAAATGGGTTTAAACTTCAATTGAAGTTGACATTAAATTTTAATCTATTTGGGGAACATTTATTGTAAAGACTATAATATTTATAGGCAAATTTAAGACAAACTGTTATTTCATTCCATTCATTGTCTGTTTTCCATTTCCAAGGTCTGATAATTGCAATAGTTTTCAAATTTATCTTCAGTTTCTTCACTGGAGTCCAAGTAATCTTTTTCTTTAATATATTTTTATTGACTTCATAGAAGAAGGGAGAGGGAGAGAGAAATAGAAACATCAATGATGAGAAAGAATAGTTGATCAGCTGCCTCCTGCACACCCCACACTGGGGATGGAGCCCATAACCCAGGCATGTGCCTGACCAGGAATTGAACTGTGACCTCCTGGTTCATAGGTCAATGCCCAACCACTGAGCTACGCTGACCAGACTGTCTGAGTAATCTTTATAAAATACAGGTTTGATCATACCATGCATCAGCTTTAATGCCTTTATCACCTTAATACAATCTAAAGTATAATTCCTCAGCATGACTTTTGTATGATTAGACTCATTTATTTGTCTACTTTTCATGCCTTACCATTTTATAGCATAGCGTATCATCTTGAAAGTTCCATACTTTCTTAGCTCTATAATTTTGCATATGTCCTTCTGTGGAAACAAATTAGGAATAAAGGAACTTCCTCATTTCATAAAGATATATATATATATAAATAAATATGTAATATGGAAATTAGCCAGGACGCCATAACAGTCATGACTGCTCAGGAGGAGGCTGCATGCGCAGGTGGGTGGGAGGGGACTGCTGCGCAGTGAGGCAAGCCATGGATGGCGCAGGCCCGCAGAGAGCAGGGCCTGTCTGCCAGCCGCAGTGGCAGCCGGCAAGCAGGCCTGCAGAGAACAGGGCCTGCCAGCTGGGGTGTGCTGGCAGTCCCACCTCTGCGCGTGAGCTGCAGAGGAAACACCTTTTCTGACCGCTCATTATCTAAGTTCCTGGTATGCCACTCACAGTGTTCTTGGTAACTTGTGTAATAAGAATCCAAGAAGGTGATCTAGGGTTTTCCACCTCACTCCTGGAGGAAAAAACCAAGGTCCACTACTGGAGGGGCTAAGAAATGTCATATCCTGCCCTAGCTGGTTTGACTCAGTGGATAGAGCCTCGGCCTGCCGACCGCAGAGTCCAGTTCGATTCTGGTCAAGGGCATCTACCTAGGTTGCAGGCTTCTCCCTGGCCGGGGCCCAGGTCAAGGCTCATGCAGGAGGCAATCAATGGAAGTGTCCCTCTCACATTGATGTTTCTCTCTGTCTTTCCCTCTCTATTCCACACTCTCTAAAAATCAATGGAAAAATATCCTCAGGTGAGGATTAAAAAAAAAAGAAAGAAAGAAAGACATGTCATATCCCATGAAAGAGACATCTTGAAAATGCCTAAAGAAAGTTGTCATTTTTTCGTGGTGAAATGACTGGAGTCCGTGTTGATGAAAACACCTTGGCGGCTGTGGCGGCCGGCAGTGGCAGCAGCAACAGGGTGATGGGAGCAGCGCCTTCCCCTGATCAGCCCGGTTGCCTCCTGAAGAGGGAGGCCAGACTGTGGCTTAGGCTCGCTCCCCGGGGAGAGCGGGCCTAAGCCGTCAGTAGGACATCCTCTGAGGGCTCCTGGATTGGAGAGGGTGCAGGTCAGGCTGAAGGACCCCCCTCACCCTTGCACAAATTTCGTGCACCAGGCCTCTATTCTACAAATAAACCTATAGCTAATATCATACCTAATGATTAAATATTAAATATTAAACCTTCCTTTAAAGAAGACATCAGGGCAAGAATTTATATTTTCATAACTTATATTAAACATTGTAATTGAGCTCCTACACAGTAATATAAGACAAGAAAGAAAGAAGTATAAAGATCAAAAAGAAAGAGTAAAACTATTTTCAAATTCCAAAACAATCACAGTATACTGATAAGTAAATTTCATAGGTATACTTAAGATTTGTACCTTTTGCTATATGTAAATTTTATTTTTTACTAAAGAACTATAATAATCTTGGTGAGGATTAACAACAACAAAAAAGAATTGGTGAGCTCTTAACAAAAGAACTATACATAAATATTAAAGTGTAATTTATGATTTGCATGTGGAACTGTTGATGTTTGAAGAGCAGATGTCTGCAACATACTTTGAAATGCACCCAAAAAATAAGATAGATTTTTGGGTAGATATGGGAATGAAAAGATGTATGATAAATAAATATAGTACAATTTTTAATTTAGAATCCAGATATTGCATATATGGGTATATACTGTACACCTTTTTCAACTTTTCTGTGTAAATATTTTAAATAAAATCTTTAGAAGAAATATAGAAATTATTTTTTGCTATGATATTGTATAAGCCAATTTAAAACCATCTTAGAATAAAATATATTTACCTGTACTTGGAAGATCAAGAAACTAGGTTCTTCTCTATCCATTCACATTGGAAGTTGGAATATTTTTATCCTTGTTTAATACTTATTGATTAACCAAACTTTCAAAGATGTAAGCAAAACATCCTTTTAGTACAACAATGTGTACAATATTCAAGGGCTTACCATCTAATTCAGCTAATTTCAGTTGACATAATGATGGTTAGACTTTATTTATTAAGGTGTAACCATGGCAAATTACAGTATCCTATTTACACTTAAATTGCTTTTTATAATCAAATAAATGTGTTATTTGGATATTTGAGTTTAGTTTTCAACTCTCATCAAGTTATTAAAAATACAAATATTGCCTAGAAACTAAGTAAATTCAAAAATAAAACAAAAATCAGATTTCTAATTGTCAAATTCAGGGACATTCTACCCATTTTTGTCCTACTTGAAACCTTTGCTAGGCATTTGTCACATTTCTCAGAACCCTTTCTTGCTTCTTGATTCACTTGCCTCTGATTGTTTCTACTCCATCACTTTTATTGCCTCTTCTATCTAATTGTAATAGTTCTCAGGGGGTTTTCCCCTCATCCTCTTCAGTTCTGGATAATCTTACCTCTTTCCACAATTTCAATTACTGTCTATAGGCTAGGGATTCCCCAGTTCTGTATGGAGTTCCTGCAGTCATTAAATATCTTATATTATTTCTATTTTCTCTTTCCTCCTTGAGCCTTACTAATTTTCTTGTATTGTTATTCTATTAATAATGTTAAAGCCTGTCTAAGTTTCCAACTAGTTTTTGTCAGTCTTGATTCCTCCCTTATTCTATCTACTGACTCATCTCACTTTCACACGTGTTCAGTTGTCTAGAAACCAAGTTCTTTTTTCTATCCTCCATTGCTATTATTGACCATGTCTCAACTGGTTACTAGTGTAAATTATGAGGAGTTCTTTGTGCTACCAATCTAGGTCACCTTTTTCTCCATTATTGGAATTTTTCTTCTACAATGTTAGCATCAACAACAAAAATCTATTGGTCATATAACCCCCCTGTATTAATTTCTTACTGACTGTAAAATAAGTGCCGGACTCCTTAGCCTAGCAAACAAATCCTATTCACAGTTAGAACTAAGCCTACCTTTGTACTCGAGACTAACTCCAGCCACTTTTCTCACAATTACTAAAACTTCACAGCTCTGACTTTACACATGTAATTCCCTCCTGCACTTTCTCTATGAATGTCAGTCTCCCCACACCTTTCTAATTCCTTTAACATGGGGGAAATGGTGGCACTGAGCTCCTAAGACACTTATAACTCTTTTTAAAAATTTGTTTTTAGCCTAGCCGGTTTGACTCAGTGGATAGAGCATTGGCCTGCAGACCAAAGGGTCCCGGGTTCGATTCTGGTCAAGGGCATATACTTTGGTTACAGGCTCCTCCCCGACCTGGGCCCCTTGCAGGGTGAGGATTAACAACAACAAATATATATATATTGTTTTTATTCTAACTTCCAATGTGAATGGATAGAGAAGAGCCTATATATATATTGTTTTTATTTTAACTTCCAGTGTGAATGGATAGAGAAGAGCCTAGTTTCTTGATCTATATATATATATATATGTATATATATACATATATATATGTTTTTATTGACTTTACAGAGAGTGGAAGGAGAAGGAGAGAGAGAAAAACATCGATCAGCTGCCTCATGCACACCCTTCACTGGGGATTGAGCCAGTAACTCAGGCATGTGCCCTGATTAGGAATTGAACCAGTGACTTCTTGGTGCATGGGACGACACTCAACCACTGACCCACACCAGCCAGGCTATAGCCATAACTTTTTAACTACCATTCACCATGTTGTATAGTACATTGTTCTTGTAATTAAATCATCACCAAAATAGTTATCCCACGAGTTATTAATCCAGTAAGTATTAAAATCCAATTTAAGATGTCCATTAGTATCTAGCTGATGGGTTTTTTAAGATGTTAACTAAATTTACCCTTTCCCTTATGGATTTAGAACTGCATATTTAGGAGAGACAAGAATAAGATAGATATCTAACTGCCAACTCTAATTCCTATAGAGCTGAATTAGAGAACTCAAATTTTTAAAAAATATATTTTTATTGATTTTGAGAGAGAGAGAGAGAGAGAGAGAGAGAAAGAAACATCGATGAGAGAGCAACCTTGGCACCTGCTCTGACCAGGAATCGAACCAGTGACTTCTTAGTTCCTGGTTGATGCTCAGCCGTTGACCACACTGGCTGGGCATAAAGCTCAATTTTTATCTGAAGCCATGATAGCTGATATATTGCCAATGGCATATATCATTTCTTGCTTCCACATGTCCCTCACAACTAATAATTCTACCTCTGAAAACTAATCTTGGTTCACCTTGAAAAACAGGGACAAAATTGAAGGAAAACACTTAGGAGTATTCCTGAAATTTTTACTGTACTACAGAAGGACAAATCAACAAATAAGTGCATATTGAATTTGTAATGCCAATTTACAGTAAAATTGTCATTACATTTAAACTTTTTAACTATAAAATATTAACCTATTAGTTAAAATTCCTTTTGGGAAGTGGTGTGACAATAGCAGAATTTAGAAGGAAATGGTTTTGCTGAAACTTTTTTATAATTAAAAAAAAAGTCCATCAATACATTCTTAGTGCTGCACATTTTCTTCACAGAGTATTCTATTTAAGTGCTTAATTTCATTGTTACACGTTAAGGTACAGTTGTTCTACTGATAAAATAATGAACATCTTTCTAATTAAAAATAGTCATTTCTTTTTAAAGAAGGAAAGTAATAAGATTGATGTTATTACTTTTTTATAATTACACTAGAGGCCCGATGCACAAAATTCACGTGGGGGTCCCTCAGCTCAGCCTGCACCCTCTCAAATCCGGGACCCCTCGGGGGATGTCCGACTGCCGTTTTAGGCCCGATCCCTGGATCGGGCCTAAACCGTCAGTAAGACATCCCTCTCACAATCCAGGAATGCTGGCTCCTATCTGCTCACCTCCCTGCCTGCCTGATCTCCCCTAACTGCCTCTGCTTGCCGGCCTGATTGGCCCTAACTGCTCCCCTGCCTACCGGCCTGATCGCCCCTAACCGCCTCTGCCTGCTGGCCTGATTACCCCCTAACTGCTGTCCCCTGCTGGTCTGATCACCCACTAACTGCTCTCCCCTGCTGGCCTGATCACCCACTAACTGCTCTGTTCTGCTGGCCTGATCGCCCACCCCCTAACTGCTCTCCCCTGCTGGCCTGATCGCCTCCTAACTGCTCTCCCCTGCCAGTCTGATCGCCCACTCCCTAACTGCTCTCCCCTGCTGGCCTGATCGCCCCTAACTGCCTCTGCCTCAGCCCCGCTACCGTGGCTTTGTCCAGAAGGATGTCCAGAAGACGCCCGGTCTAATTAGCGTATTACCCTTTTATTAGTATAGATAACATTTTTATGCAAAAAGGCTTTCATTCATTTAGAATAAAACATCTGTATTATTATATTTTACAACAAGAAAACTTAGCATGGCCTATGATGTAATCCCTTATACCTTTTAAAAATAAATGGAACAAATCCAAGCAAGTATATACTTTAGGAAATATGCTTCTGCTTACAAATGGCCTGTTTGAGATTACACATTAGCCCTTTTTTAATGTTCTTTTGTTCCCTAAGTCATTATTATGACCTCTTTTATTTTGCCATCCTTCTTAGGGGAAAAAAACTATTTCACATTATACACTTTTAATATTTTCCAGTTGAAAATGAAGATGAGGCTGAAAGGGTTCTTTTTTCCTATGGCTATGGTGCTAATGTTCCCACAACAGCCAAAAGACGACTAAAACAAAGGTAAAATCAATATATATTTGTTTTATTTACCTATTTAAGCTAAATGTAATTACATTATGCTTTTTGATAGTGTGCTGAGTTGCATGACAAAATAGTTACTTTCTTCTTAGTATGCATAAATATTAAATACCTCACAAAATAAAACACAGTAGGTAATGCTCTTGTCTGTTTGGCTCAGTGGATAGAGGGTCAGCCTGCAAATGAAGGGTCCTGGGTTCCATTTCAGTCTAGGGCACATGCCAGGATTGTGGGCTCGATCCCCATTAGGGGGCATGCAGGAGGCAGCTGATCAATGATTCTGTCTCGTCATTGGTATTTCTATCTCTCTCTCCCTCTCCCTTCCTCTCTGAAATCAATAAAAATATATTTTTAAAAAAACACAGTAATAATGATGCATTTTATGTATTTATAAGTGAGTTTAATGGTCAGTAGAATAGAAGCATACTAGAGCCCTAACTGGTTTGGCTCAGTGGATAGAGCGTCAGCTGCGGACTGAAAGGTCCCAGGTTCGATTCTGGTCAAGGGCATGTACCTTGGTTGCGGGCACATCTCCAGTAGGAGGTGTGCAGGAGGCAGCTTATTGATGTTCCTCTTTCATCGATGTTTCTAACTCTCTATCCCTCTCCCTTCCTCTCTGTAAAAAAATGAATAAAATATATATTTTTTTTAAAAAGCATACTAGAATTTCTCTAGAATTAGATTCATGATGACACCATTTTTATTTTCAGATTAATTTCAAGTGAATTACAAATGCTTTTGTACTAATAATTTTCAGTTAAAATTAATTAATTATGCTTTATTTTCCCCTCTTTTTTTCATTCACCTGCCTACATTCCTTAACATATACTTGAGAGAACAAAAGAGAGAGATCAAGATAGATGGAGATAATAAAAATGTTGTAGATTAAAAGTATAAAAGACTTTGTAAAGACCAAGAAAATTTTTGAAAGATACATTAGTTATCTTGTGAGATACTACTTAAAGTACACTGAGAGGAAATTGTACCTATATTAATCAATTTTCTAGTTGATCTAATACCTACCTCCTTTAGCTCGCCTGAATTCATCCTGCTTTACAAAAACATCTCACTCCCCCTTTCACTACCATTATCAAGTCTAATTGTTTCTACCAGACTTCTAAGCCCTTCCAAGTGGCCCACCTCTCCAGCCTTTTCTGCCTCTTTACACAGAATGAGAGTAGTATATATCTCTGCCTTTAAACATCTGATTTCCTCATATTGTATACAAAAGAGCTTTTCTGTTATCTCAGTAGCACTCATTTTTCCTATTATTTCTTCAGCTGGATGGAAAGTTCCTCAAGGTCAGCAACTACATCTTGTTCTTGTTTATTCCCCACTGTCTCTGCCTTGCAGATACCTAGTAGAATTGTCTCTTCATCTGAGTATTTGAGGACTCAAAGCTGCTTGTTTATCTTTTATTTTAGTATGAATTGATTTAAACCTTTAGAGACATTACACATTAAGAAAAACAGTCCATCTTAACATCAGTACTTTTGTAGAAACTTTGAAAATGGCTCAGAGAATGAAATGTCTTTATGGCTATCTAATAAGATATAGACCATTTTATGAGAAGAGTTGCTTAGAATTTGTGTCTCTTGCTGGTTAAACTAAATACCTGAAAAATTTAGATCAAGTATAGATTACTAACAAGTATCAATTAGTAGTTGGACTGGTTCATTCTGTCTGATAAAGATACAAGTATTTCTGAATTATGTATTATTTGAAAAATGGGTTATAGTCCCATCACATTCCCTTTCTTTCCCAAGTCCCTCCAGAGATCACTAAAGATAACCTAGTATGTTTTGTAATTTCCAGCATATCTCTCTTTTTTGAGTATTATGTTACCTAGGGAGAAATAAAAACGTAGGTTTGTGGACAAGTGATTTCTTTATCAGTGGTAAATGATCGCTAAAATACTAAATATTGAAATTTGAAGGAAAAATTCCATTTTCTTCTCTATTTTAGCATCTGAATCCTTCAAAAGAATCTTGTCACAGAAAAAAGAAAATGTTACTATTGTAAGCTTTCTTTCTTTAGCCCAAATACTGAGTTCCTCCAAAATTGAAAGCAAGTATTGCTTATTTTCTTAAAAATTTCCAAACCAGATATTAACTTCTCAAAATTTAGAGTGAAGATTTAAGGAACCACAACTGATTCATATTCCAATAATCTTAACTGTCCAAATATTTCTAAAGATTTTATCACTGAGCTATCTATGTGCCTTGAACAAGTGCCTAATGTGCATGCTATTAATATCTCCTACCAGCTGGTGCCAGACATTCTTCTAATGGTGAACCAGAGGGTTATTTTGAGGAAGTGCTTCTCAGGTCATCTAAACTGAGTGAAGGAAAAGTAAGTCTAGATATGCAAGGAGGACATTTATGCATTCCTTTGCCCATTCATTCAACTTTTATTGAGTGCCTACTGTATGCACAAAATTGACCAATGGCACAGAAGATCCCTGTTTAGGGTCTGGTGCATTTTTTAAGTTTGCAAAGTCCATATTTGATTTCTTATTGGATATTTGTAAAGAAGTCCATAGCTTTGTGCTCTGTTTAAATTAAAGTAAAAGCAGCCGAAACCGGTTTGGCTCAGTGGATAGAGCGTCGGCCTGCGGACTGAAAGGTCCCGGGTTCGGTTCCGGTCAAGGGCATGTACCTGGGTTGCGGGCACATCCCCAGTGGGAGATGTGCAGGAGGCAGCTGGTCGATGTTTCTCTCTCATCGATGTTTCTAACTCTCTATCTCTCTCTCCCTTCCTCTCTGTAAAAAATCAATAAAATATATTTTTTTTAAAAAAAAAAAATAAATTAAGGTAAAAGCAATATATCCTTTGAGAAAATCTATATTTGGGATTAAAGCAATAGAAACTTGAGGTATATTATAAAACAGCTTAGTTAGAACAGCAAATGAAATATTTGCATAATAAGGTTTTCATTATACCTCAGTTTATACCAAAATATATTAAAATTTCAAAAGAACTTATTTCCTGACTAGTACACAATATATTCTATTCATACTAAATTGGATTTGCAATCTCATATATTCAACAACCAATTTAGGTATTTTAGTATCATACCTAATTGGAGGGGATTACTTATTATAAAAATAATACATGTTTATTTTAGAAAATTAGGAAAATCCTGGTAATTCTACTGTCTAAAGATATTATTCAAAAATGTATACAGATATATATTTTTTCCTACATACAGTGTAGAATTTTATTTTTTTCTTATAATTCTACCTTGAACATTTTATGTCATTGAATAGTCTTTAAAAAGATAAATTTTATTGGTTATCCAAAACTTTAATTTTTAGGCCTTCTGTATTTGAGTGCCATATGCTGTTAATAAATTGGATAGCCATTGAAATTTTTCATTAGTTGCTTATTGCTACCCAAGCTATATTATGAAATTAAAATGAGAAAATGGATGCAAAGTTCACAGAGTGCCTGGCATAGAGTTCAGTAAATGTTAGTTTGTTATGCCAATTAATGTTTCTTAAAGTAAATTGCATAGTTGATTTTTGAGCCAGTGTACAAAAATGTTAACTAGGCACAATTTGAGTTTTTATTTATAACAATTTTGTTTTAAAATGTTAATGAGATTTCTTGAAATAATTAGTAGAGACACGCCCTAGACATGAAACTAGTTTTGAGATTCACTTTCTTTGCTATGAGTCAGTTTCTTTCTTTCTTTCTTTGCTATCAGTTTCTTTCTTTCTTTCTTTCTTTCTTTCTTTCTTTCTTTCTTTCTTTCTTTCTTTCTTTCTTTCTTTCTTCTTTTCTTCCTTCCTTCCTTCCTTCCTTCCTTCCTTCCTTCCTTCCTTCCTTCCTTCTTTCTTTTCTTTCTTCCTTCCCTCCCTCCCTCCCTCCTTTCTTTCTCTCTCTTTCTCTCTCTCTTTCTCTCTCTTTCTTTCTTTCTTTCTTTCTTTCTTTCTTTCTTTCTTTCTTTCTTTCTTTCTTTCTTTCTTTCTATTGTTTAAAGTATTACAAATAGTAGTACATGTTTTCTTTTATTCCTCATTGACCTTTGCCCAGCCTCCGCTACCCCCCGGCACATGCCCTCACCCACCCCACCCCAGTGCCTTGCGTCCATTGGTTATGCTTATATGCATGCATACAAGTCCTTCGGTTGATGTCTTACCTCCCACCCCCCCAACTTAAGACATACTGTAATGCCAATCTCCAATAAGGAAGTGGCAAAAATCGCTTTTCAAAATTGGTTTGCAAAATAATTACCCAAAATGTCTGTTAAGCACATCATAATTAGTAAATAAGGCTAATCGCATTTTGAAGTTTCAATAGAGATTGAACAATAAATATTATGTTAAACTCTTCTGAACAAGGTTGTGGAAAGTTAAAAGAGCTTACACAATTACAGAAGATTAAAATAAAATGGGCACTTCTTGACTTGACTAAACTTGAAAATCTGAAGTAATGTTTTTGTTTCGGTCATGATTACTTTGAAAATAGCAAACAAGATTTTCTGGTTACATGTTTTGGTTATGCTCTTTAACCTGGGTAACACCCAGGCACTAACATGGTCTTAGTATGTGCTTCTCTATTTGTTTTCACAGATCTGAATGTAGAGACTTCTCTTCAGGTTTTTAAACCTTCCAAATTGCAAAATTAATGCATACTGTAGACCTTTTATTTGGGTTTCTATCTAATTTTATAAAGAGCTTTAAGTTGAAATTTTCACAGTTGCCTGAGCTTCACAACAAAGGAAAAAATAAAGCCGGGGAAACTTTTATTTCCTCTGGGAAACTTATTTCCTCTAGCAAATTTTTGTGCATAACAAAAATTTGTTTTCTTCGCCTTTGTTCTCATATGTACGAATTTTCATTTTTATCTTTAGGGAAAGCCGCACTTATTTCATATGAGTTGGTTTTAGGGCTAGTCCTTTAAAAAGTTGATGCTAGTCTATTCATGATCAACTTGAAAGTTCAAACCTACAGAAGAAACTAGGGAAAGTCTCATAT